GTTCTGGGCGCAGGGCGGGTGTACGCGTTACCGTGGCAGGCTGCCCCTTCGCAGGGCCGGGCCGTTCGGGCAGAGCGTCTCCAGGGCAGGGGTTGTGCTCGCACGCCTGGACGCTCCTTTCCCGTGCCGCGTTTTCCCCTGCGTGGGGAATGGGACGTGCGGCGCTCAGCAGGCAGTCCCGCAGGGCGGAGGTGCGCGGTGGTCAGCGCTGACGGCTGGGATCTGGGACCGGCTGTGGCGCGCTCCACACGCGCTCGCTGAGTCCTAGCTCCCTTCTAGGCTGCCCCGCGCCTCAGAGATCTTCCACGTTCTGCCCTAAAGAGGGCGAATGTCCTGGTGTCCCTGGGTAGGGACATGGCTGCGCACAGGCCTCCCTTCCCTCCCGCTTCCTTACTGAACTCCCTCCGTGCAGTGGCCGTGTTTGCTTTGAGTGATCTCCTTTTTCCAACATTTGCAGTGCTGACCTTGGATTTTAATTCTAACTTCACAGATGAGGGAGGTGAGAACATGCTCAAATTGCCCTGATTTTATTTTATTCTTTGACATTTTTAACCTAAGACTGGTGCTCATGGCAGTGTCATTTGCTCAGCTGAGGTATCGGGAACGTCAGTACCTGACGAACAGCTGTGTGAAGCTGCACACAGGAGCCTGCTCCCAGCTCTAACCTGCCTAGCCCCAGACCTGCTATTTCCAGACAAAATTGTCAAGCTGAAAAAAAAGAGCCATTTTTATTGTGTACTTGAATATGCACTTGTCCATGAGGAAGTAGGGAGCTCCATGAAAGAGGCACAAGCAGAACACCAAATAAATCTAAATACAGAATCATGTTCCCGAAGATTTGGGATGGGAAGTTCAACTCCTGATCCTTCATATTTTCCTCATCTGCAACTTATTCATGACTCCTTGACAACGAGCTTTAACTAATGAAAAGTGCCCTTGGCGAACACTACAGTAGGGATTAATGTATTTCCCCATGGGTCAGGTAACATGGACAGTATCAGCCATTCAGCAAAAAAGGGGCTTCCTATGTTTGAGTCTGGTCTGAATCCCCAGAATTCAGGAGTTATCTATTCAGTGCAAGGTCAACAGTGATTTGCTCCCAAATTAGAATTAATTCTTTTCTAAGGTTAGTATTCCATTTTTGCTTTTCTAATTTGAATCTGTCGAGATGAAAATGTATAATAAATGTCCATTTCGTTCTGAGTATTTTCAGAGCTTCAGGGCCTGAATTACTCTTGTTTTGCTTTGGTTTGGTTTGCAATTCTCCTGCCTAACGGATCACAAGATGAAATGGATAAGAAATATTGGTAGTTTTATGTAGAAATATTTTTGTAGCTGTTTTGTTCACATTTGTAAACTTATTGTGGAAATCCTGTTATTTATAGGGTGGGTGTATGTGTAGCATTAGATTTCTTCACAGATATTATCAAAATCCACTGCATTTCTGTCTTTGAGTAGATAATATGTAAAGAAGGCTGCATTTCCTTCACATCACCCTCATAAATGTATACGAGCTACCGCACAAATCTCATAGTTCACCTTGTCAATCCTGGTAGTTACAGGACAAATCCATAGACTTAGCGGTAAGCCTCCCAACACCGCTCTGCCAAGGCCCCGCGGTGACGTTCGCCCCGGCAGCCCTTTGCAAAGCTGCCCGCGGTTCGCAGTTGCTATGGCTGCAAACATTTCCCTGCAATTAAAGCACTTCTGTGTGTGTCGGCACAGGTAATTACTGGTGGTAAATGGTGCCTCGGCGTTCCAGGGTCCAGGCAGAGGTTGCCCCTATCCCCGCCAACCTCTTCCTGCCTCCTCCCCACGTCCGGAATCGCGTATCAGGAGACTGTGTTTAGAGATAAATGGGTCAGCTAAAGGTCTCACTGATTTTTCTAGCATATAAATATTGTATTTACCTGAGGTGTGTGGGCTGGTTGGAAGCAGACATGAGTTTGTGCGAGGGGAGCCGTGTGGGTCGCAGGGCCCTCGCGCGGGCCGGCCGCGCTCCCTGCTGCGGCTCCTGGGGCTCCTTGCGCTCCCGCCTCCGCGGTGCACGCCCGGGCCGTGGGCAGCCTCGCCGGGCCTTAGGAAGGGGACGCCACGGAGCAGGGGCTCCTCCTCCTGCCCCCACAGATTTGCTAGCGCTGGTTTTTATGCCAGCGTGCGAGGTGTTTGTGTTGGGCCAGCTCGCAGTCACTCGAGCGATTCCGTTTCAAGCACATGTGTCTGCAAACAAATGGCTGTAATGACAGGATGGGATTGAAAATGAAGCCTAATTACCTCAGCTTACTTAACCCGGGAATAACGCTTCCAGACGTGCCCACGGCCGTGCCGGTTGGCCACGTTCGGTGGTGCCCTGCACAGAGCTCGCGCACCTCCTATGTCTGAGAGCTCTTCTCCAGCTAAGGGCCTGTGGACGTGGTGAGTCTGGGAGCGAGGGGAGAGCACGAGGAGCTGCAGGGACAGTGTGTTGTGAACGCACAGGGCAACAGCGGAGAATGTTACGTAGGGAATATTTTCCTTTGATCCTGAAGACCCTCATCACTAGGTCCTCGTTTTCCTCAGGAAAAGGAAACAAGGCAGATTTGAGCCTTTTTGCCAGTGCTCTGTGCTTACCTTAATGCAGTTGGCACTACAGTAAAAGGAGAGCTGGCAGCAGTCACGCCAGCGGTCCTGTCTGTGCAAGCTGCCGCTGCGGCACACGGGCAGCACGAGCGCGCGCGTCCCTGCGGTGGGGCAGGACGGGCGCCGCGTCCTCACCCGCGTCTCGTCCCGAGGTGCAGTCCATGCCGCAGAGACATTGGTGAGTGAGGCTTCCTGGCACACGGTCGGCCAAAAAATCAGGTTATGCTGGTGCGTTTTGGTACAACAGTGAGAGAAGGTTTGTGTGGCAGGTGAAATGCAAAAGTTTGACTTTTTGTCCGTAAAGTAATAGAAAAGTAATTTTTCTTCCTTACTTTGATGTACCCTTTTTGTTGATACAACTAATGTTATTAAGAAGAGACTTCAAGACCTTAATGTAATTGCTCAATCCTGCTGATACTGATCTGCTCTTGCTGAAGGTCAGGGGAATTTTGCTGATATCTCTGTGGTGAGCAGGTCGAGGTCAGACGTCTTTCTTGCAAGGCCAACATACCTGATACTGTTTCCAACTCTTAATTTTCATATTAATCCTAGTTATTGGAAGTTTCAGGAAAATTTCTCTTCCATCACTAACTCCTCTTTCCTTTTGGTATTTAATTCTATGCTACCACTTTCTATCTTTCAGTTAAAGTAGCTTTCATAAGACTAGTTTTTAAGCCAGCTTCTAAACCGTTTTGCAGTTGCTTTCTAATCACAGAAATCGGATATCCTGGTATTTGGCCTAGTATATGAGCCTACATTTGTATTTGAATATAGTGATTTATCGGGAAGCCTCAAGGCACATCTAGAGACAGAAGCAGCCCTGTGTCCACGTGCAGGCGCTGTCAGTGCCGCGCACCGGGCAGGGCCGCAGCGCACGGCGGCATCCCGCTGGAGACGGAATCCCGGCGCTCCCAGCCCTGCCAGCAAAGCAGGGCTCTAGGAGGAGAGCTCTGAATCGCAGGTGTCGGGAGGGGAGCTGGGGGCTGCCGCTGGCCCTGCCCCAGGGCTGCGCTCGGGGAGCCCCACGGCCCCCGCCAGCCTCGGCTCTTCTGGGATTCCGCCGTCCTCACTCTGAAGAAATCTGCTTGCATTTTGGGCAATGGACTACATTTTGTATACAACACCTTCGCTAAATTTTTGGTAATAGGGTTTACAGTAATAAACAGTATGTTGGGCTTGCAATTATACCCATCAAGCAGTGATACTCATTTCACTGATAATAAGATAAAATATTAAAAATTTACTAAGCGGAGGCGAGCAGGGTGTCGCGCTGGAGCACAGGGCTAGGAGAGCTGGCTGCGCAGCCTGGAGGGAGCAGGGGAGGCAGGAGTCGTCACTAGTTGTAGGTGGCAGCTGCGCAGAAGCACCAGCAACAGGCCCAGAGGCAGCGGGCAGCTCTTGCAGCAGGGGAGCTCGCAGCGTGGGAAAACAGGGGAAAAACCTTCACAACAGCCATCAGACCCCGGAGCAGGTGCCCGCAGTGTTGTGGGATCTCTGTACTTGGAGATGATCAAATTCCCTTGGACAAGGCCCTGGGTGACCAGACTTGCTGTTGGCACCGTTCTGGGAGGGGGCTGGCCCCGAGGGCCCTTCCCGCCGGGACCAGCCTGTGGTTCTAGTGCCCGAGGGTGGAGGCAGCCCACGGTGCCCGTGGGAAGCAGGGCGGGCACGCAGGGGGCTTCCTGGGCACCCCCCGAAGTATCCCCACAAGCGCGGGCGCGTGAGGCAGGCGATGCCTCAATGGTGCTGAGAATGGGAACTGTGACGGCGCTGGGTGCTCTGGAGGGGAAGACAAGGATCTCTCTCAGTCACTGTAAAATATTGCAGTGCTGTTTTTCCCCCAACTTAATGATTTCTCATGGCTTTTAGTGACACATCCTAGAAGCCGTATCCTGTATATATGTAGTCTTCAGATCAGTTCCAGCACTTCTATACATCTACCTGACTTAGAATTAGTAGTATGAGCTATGCTGACTACACGTAAGCCTTAAAAGAGAAAAGTATCAGACTATGTAATTATATTTAAAGGCTATATCTGTGTTTATCTTCAAATGCCTTCCTCACTTCATCCTAGAGATCCAGTGCATATAATTAATAAAGCTGTTGTAATTGATCTATGACTAACTACAGAAATTATTTTATTCAATAGTGATTAGAAACTGACATTCTCATATATTCTCAGCATTAATGTGTGTACTTTATGATAACAGGTGTGAGATGTATCTAAAGGAGGTTTACCTGAAGACATTTATCTTTCAAGCAAATGAGTAGAAAGACCACAACTATTCAAGCTATAAGTCAAAAATATTAAACTTTTCACTACTTCTATGGCACCATCAAATAACTGTCTATTTTAATAATGGTCTTTTTTTTTTTTCCAGTCACAATATTCTTCTGTATGAGGATGGCCATGCTGTTGTTGCTGATTTTGGAGGTGAGGAGTTCTTGTGAAAGATGTATCATTAACTTCATATGCCCTAAAAATAAGTATGTGCTGACTAAGAATAATCAGAAAGTTGATAAGGTTGCTCTTCATTTCATGATGGATGACAGCAGAGGTTTTTAGGGACGAGGATATCCCTGTTTTTTTTCCTCATGTCGGTTAGCAGGTTCTGTGAAGGACCTCACAGTCTATCTGAGGATGAAGCCATGACCATGAGAGCGATGCACCCAGTCTGGTTGGGTTTTAACGGTGGGTTAGAGGAAGAGCAGTGAAAGACCCCTCTAATGGAGAACGTCAGAGACGCAGTCAGGGTCTGAGGACAGCATTACCATGCAAGTCTGTGCTTGTGAGCAGCCAAACCCCGAGCCAATAGGACAGGTTTCATTCAGCTGAAAGGACACAGTATAGTTCTGCCGGCCTTCATTGTGGAGTTGTGGGCCGCAGGAACTGCCTCTGGGTGGCATTAGACCCGGTGGCACCTCATGGAGCTGTGTCTTGTGCACCGGCCTGGTGTGTCCCACGGGAGCGTGTTCCCCTGAGCAGGGGCAGCCCTTGGGCCGAACGGCCGGAATGGCTCCCTTGGACTCGGCCCCGCTGCTGCGCCGCAGCCCCGGGACGTGGCGAGCAGGAACCTCGGCCGGCGCGAGCAGGGCCTGCGTCACTGGGCCGCGTCCCGGGACGTGGCGAGCA